GTGTGTGTGTGTGTGTGTGTGTGTGTGTGTGTGTGTGTGTGTGTGTGTGTGTGTGTGTGTGTGCCAGTCCTAGGACTTGACTAAGGGCCTGGGTGAGCTTTTTGGCTCAAGGCTAGCACTCTACCACTTGAGCTACAGCTCTACTTCAGCCTTTTGGGTAGTTAATTGAAGATAAAAGAGTCTCATGAATTTTTCTACCTGGACTGGCTTTGAACTGCAATCCTCAGCCTCCAAGTAGCTAGGAGTACAGGTGTGAGCGATCAGCACCTGGCTTGACAGGTATGTTTTTTAAACATTTTTTTCCTGTAGCATCCTGGTCTGAAGAACTTGTCTGTGCCTTAAGTGTTTCCTCTTCCATGCCTTATGGGCTTGCAATGCTAATGGAGAAAACAGTTTCCCTGCCCTAAGCAAAGTGAGTGTGAATTTCTTTGATTGGGGCATTGCTACACTGCTGTCCCTACACTTGTTTTTGTTTTGGTCTTCATCTCATGAATCCACAAACACTCTTTTCCAAGCTCACCATATATGAAAGACATTAGCATTTTCCAGAGAAGCTTTGTTCTCAGATTGGCAAATTTTCTCTTCCTCTGTCTAGATGCTCTGAATTGTTGAAGTCATGCCCAACAGCACAAGCGCTCAGGCCTAAACTAAGCTTACTGAACACATGCATTTCTCCAATGGCATATCACAGGCTTTCTTGGACTTGGGGACAATAGACAGCACTCAATACTGTGCTTGAGGCCATTTCAAAAATAAGCAAAAACAACTGCCAGAGTCATGGCACCAAATGGGCCACAAAAGGGCACATGAACACTGTATCAGAACTGAGACAAGACCACAGAGCTCTCTTGGCCTAGTTCTGTGTGGGAACATTAAGTGATGGATGACTAACTTTTCAACCTTTCTGTACATGTCTGAAAATAACCAGGAAGACACTGTCAGTACTGATTTCTGGGTAACAAATTTTAGTGAGTAGATAAATTCATGAATACAGAATTTTTAGTAATGAAGGTCAACTGTACATGTCAGAGAACTTCTCAGGTAATTAAACTATTTTTAGTACTAGTTATCACTATTTAAATCTTCATGTATTAATCATAAGTTGCAAAAGCATTAGATATGATAATTTGATAAGGATAAGTGCAGGCAATGTTTAATAATAATAACAAAATTCTTTCCCCATTCAAAGCAAATGAGCTCCTAAGCATATATTGATGCCTATTCAGGAATAAAATGCCCAACACATTCAGGTTATTTGATATCTTACCACTACTAGGACACATGCTGGATTGTTTGCTCCCTTAGATTATGGATCCATACTGTTTGTTTCACTCTGAACATCTATCACTCAACCCTCAATCCATCAGATTCAAGACAACACACTGTCAATACTCCACAACTGCAGGAAACAATAATCCCTCAAACCCTTAGGAAAACTCAAGTCACAGCTGAACACAAAGTGGAGTTGGTCAACTGGGATAGAGGCAGTTGAGTGGCTCTGTCACACAAGGTAAACTCAACACAACTAAATACAGATTTGTCTCTTTTTCAGTCACCAATGCCTTGACCTTTTTAAGAGATGACTGATGCTTTTGTTTTCTTTTTCAGAACCTTATACTTGCTAGGCAGGTATTCCATTATTTGGACCATGTCCTTAGCTTTTTTTGCTTTAGCTATTTGTCAGATAGGGTCTTACTTTTTGTCTGGCCTGAACTGGACCTCGAGCCTCCTATTTATGCTTCTCACATAGGTAAGATAACAGATTCTTATTGATATAGGATCTCACCATTTTTTGTCTGGGCTGGCCTCACACCACAGACCTTCCAATTTCAGCCTCCTGAATAACTAGTTATTACGGTCATGAGCCACCAATCCTAGCTAGGGATTACTGAATTTTCTTCTTTCAATTTTTATTTATTTTTGTCAGTCATGGGGCTTGAGCTCTGGGCCTGGGCGCTGTCTCTCTTCAGCTCAAGGCTAGCACTCTACGCCACAACGCTACTTTCAGTTTTCTGGTGGTTTATTGGAGATAAGAGTTTCACAGACTTTCCTGCCCGGGCTGGCTTAGAACCTCGATCCACAGATCTCAGCCTCCTGAGTAGCTAGGATTATAGGTGTGAGCCACCGGCACCCAGCTTATTACTGAATTTTCTTTAAAGTGCTGGTACTAAGGTTTGAACACTGGGCCTCACATTCTTGCTTTTTTTTTTTTGATTCCCTCACTCTCTCCCAGTCCCTCCTTTTTTACTTCCCCCCACCCCCAGGGCTAGCACTCTACCACTTAAGCCACACTCCCACTTCTGGCTTTTTGATGGTTAATTGGAGATAGAATTCTCACACTTTCCTGCCTAGGCTTTGAACCTCAATTTTCAGATCTAAGTCTCCTGAGTAGAAGGATTATGAATATGAACTACTAGCACTTGACAAGTTTAATTCTTCTTGGGAACACTCAAAGGAGTGACATCATATATCCTTACAAACTCATATCCTTACAAACTCTTCCATGTTACTTATTTCTACATTTCTTTATCATTGAAGTAACACCAGTTGCATACTTCACGTGCATGTAACTTCACTTACTTTCTAGCTCACTAATGAGTTGATTATTGTGTAGCTTCACGGCCCGGTGCTGTTCCACCTGATCTTCCAATTCAAATATGGTTTCTTTCATGTCTTTGATCTCTGCATCACTCTCTGATGCTTTCTCTTGCAGTTTCAGGCTGGTTCTGCTCAACTGTTCCGCTTGATGATCACAGATCTCCTTCAGGTAAGAATAATCCTTTTCCATCTAGGAAAAAAGAAACATTGTCAGGTCAGTTTTTGTTTTTTGTCGGTTGTGGGGCTTGAACTCTGGGCCTGAACGCTGTCCCTCAGCTCTTCAGCTCAAGGTTAGCACTCTACCACTTGAGCTACAGTGCCACTTCTGGTTTTCTGGTGGTTTATTGGAGATAAGAATTTCATGGACTTTCCTGCCCAGGCTGGCTTTGAACCCTGATCCTCAGATCTCAGCCTCCTGAGTACCTAGGATTACAGGTGTGAGCCACTGGCACCCGGCTTGTCAGGTCAGTTTAACAACAACAAAATTTCTTCACAGATCAGCAACAAGGCTCACTCACAAAGTAGGAATGTTCAGAGGAACACAATTGTCCAAATGAATGGATTCTGTGCCCCTTATATTTAAATACCCTTCTTCCCAAACCCTGGAGCAGAAGAGTTTCTTAGGAGGCTCTAGAATCACACTGACAGGAGAGTGACCTCCTGTGGTAGCTCTAGCTCAATTCATTGCGGAGCAGCGCCCTCTGCTGGTAATGTATAGTCTATGAAGCCAAGCTGACCTGCATATCCCATCTCCTCAAAGATGACCTTTGCGGTTAGTGTTTCTTTGGATGAATAAAATACAAGTGTGTCAGAAAGCATAGTATGCGGAAATATGCACGCACCCTACACAGAGAAGTAGCATAGCACAGTTATTTCCATGTTGCACTTCAATTATACACTTGTAAATGACACACACACACTCCAAGTAACAAGAAAACCATGTACCTACCTATACTTAACCATAGTTAAATTTTGTTGTATTTGCTAACTCTTTTTTTTTTTTTTGGCCAGTTGTGGGGCTTGAACTCAGGGCCTGGGCGCTGTCCCTGATCCTCTTTGTGCTCAAGGCTAGCGCTCTACCACTTGAGCCACAGCAGTACTTCTGGTTTCTGAGTTGTTAATTGGAGATAAGAGTCACTAGGACTTTTCTGCCCTGGCTGGCTTCAAACTGCAATCCTCAGATCTCAGACTCCTGAATATCTAGGATTACAAGTGTGAGCCACTGGCACCCAGCCTGCTAAATCTTTTGTTTTTTTTTTCAGTCGTGGGGCTTGAACTCTGGGCTTGGGCGCTGTCCCTTAGCTCTTCAGCTCAAGGCGAGCACTCTACCACCTGAGCCAGAGCACCACTTCCAGTTTTCTAGTGGTTTTTTTGGAGATATGAGTCTCACGGACTTTCATGCCCGGGCTGGCTTTGAACCGCGATCTACAGATCTCAGCCTCCTCAGTAGCTAGGATTACAGGTATGAGCCACTGGCGCCCGGCTCAGCCTGCTAAATCTTAATTCAACAAGATTTGTTACACTTCAATCTTCCACCCCTCTTCTGAGAGTGACAAACATATTAAAATTGATGTGTGGTCATGATAACACAGTACTGTTTGGAATATTTAAAATTTTACACAAATGACATATTATATTATGGCTTCCCAGAATACTGTAATAAACTGTAAAGCATAATACACAATATGCTTTTGTCCTGTACTGTACAATGCTTATTATGCTCACATAACTTGTTAACTGTGGTGGGATGCATCCAGTAGATAATACTGCATGAGGTTGTTCCTGTAATTGCTGTATATTAGTATTTAAGTATGAATATATTATGAAAAATCATACAGTGAGTATTATTGTTCTTGTCCTTTAACACTCAGCATTTAAAGTATCTTAGAAAATCAAAGCTTAATATGCAATAGATTTCTTGCTAGATTTTTTTTAATGGTGGTGCTATACTATACAGTTGGGTTTTTTTTTTTTTTGGTTCCGTTGTGGGGCCTAAACTCTGGGCCTGAGTGCTGTCCCTCAGCTCTTCAGCTCAAGGCTAGCACTCTACCACTTGAGCCACAGCGCCACTTCTGGCTTTTTTCTTTTTGCTTATGTGGTGCTGAGGAATCGAACCCAGGGCCTCAGGCATGCAAGGCAAGCGCTCTACCACTGAGCCAACTTCCCAGCCCGGGTTTTTTGTTTTGATCAATTGCATTTCACGTGCAAAACCTTCTGGCTATAAACTCTATGGGAAAAGGGACCTTGTCTGCGTCATTCATTACTGTATTCTCTGCACCTGCAGTGTCAGACACAGAGGAGGCACTAAATAAAGATGGATGAATGAACTATCACTAAAGTCTTTTTCACTCAGGAAGTTGGGATGGATGGTAGGGAAAGGGAACGGTAGAGGGAGAGGAAGGAAGAGGGATGGATGGGAGGGACAGAGGGAAATAAGGAGGGAAGAAGGGAACAAATATGATACAGCGGCAGCACTGCCTGTGTTAAGGGTTAGCACTGCTGTGTGAAACTAGTATTTCAACTACAGAAGTGTGTGTGTGTCTCTGGATTGCATCCTAAAATAATCACTGTAGGCTGTGATCAGAAAAGTTTGAAAGGTGCCGAATGATGAAAATGGCTCAGGTTGCAAATTCTAGAGCCAAAAAGCCAGGGTTTAAATCTCAATTCCACCAAATCAAGCCTTCTATTCTTTTAATATCCCTATCTCAGTTTCTTCATCTAAACAATAAGGGCAACTCAATAAAATAATGTTACTTACAGAGTTTATCACAGTTCCTAGAACAGAGTAAGCCCTTAATAGAAGCCATTCTTTCTCCCAAAATGGCTTATGTCTTATGTGTATATAAGACAGAATAATATAAGTCTATTTGATCAAGAAAATCATAATTTCTGGAAAAGGCCATAAGTCCTACATCCCAATAATAGCTACTTTCCATGAAATAGATGATGATTTTAAGGAGCAAGAGTTGCTGCACTTTAGTTACTAGAAGGCCGGTGTCTCAAAGCAGCAACAGAAGGCTTTGAGTCCTACATGTGGAGGCAGCCGGTGTAGCTTTCTGCAGAGCTGGCTGGCTAACTCCGTGTCCTGGAATCTTCAGCCAGAAGCATATCACTTGGAGTCCAGTACTGTGTTTTTATGACTGTTTGGGATTGCTGTGGGTTCAAAATAAATTTACAGAATAGAATGAGGGACTAATGGTTGGGGGGGGGCAGATTAAATCACTTGAAAAGAAATAGCTAATCAAGATACATTGTATTCATAAACTGCTTTGTTAGTATCCATAAGCTGCTTTATTAAATGGCCAAAAATTCAATATATATCCTACAAAATGAGGAAAAGTGAGGGAAGGGGTGGGTTAGGAGGGATGGGTGAAAATATTGAAAGAGGTAACATTGATCAAGACACACTGTGTTCATAAACTGCTTTGCTGAATGGCAACTCCTTTGTACAAGTACTTAAAGATAATAAAACTATTTTTTAAAGAAACAGCTGGGACCAAACCCCTATACTTCCATTATCATTAATAGAGTTCTAGGCTGCCTTTTTGTGTCATGAACATCTCTACTGGCAGCCAAGGCAAACTTTTGAATTCAGCTTTTCTGTACATTAAACACTGACATCCAGCAACATAGTTTTCAATGTCTCTCATGAAAAGAGAAATCACTGTAGGCATCACACATCTTTAAAAATCAAATGGAGCCATTGAAACTGCATTACAGACAGATCCAAACCAATATTCCAGGATACCTGAGCATCCCAGAGCGGGCAATGAGAGCCCACCTGACTGAGGCAATTACCAAAAGCAGCTGGCCACAGAAGCTGTTCTGTGATCTGCCAATCAAACCCAGCTAGAATCTAAGCAAGTGTCACCACTTTCATCCAGCTTATCAAACACTGACTGAACTTGGGGAAAAATACTATCACTGGCTAGGTGCTACAAGAAACACTTGGAAATAAATGTGTGCAGGAGATTTGATGAGAAATGTTCTCGGAATCCTCATAGTGGGAGAGTCAAGAAAGTAGAATCTGAGAGAGACAAAACTGTGAGGTTCTTACATGAAGAACAGAGCTAATGCCTCAGGAATTCCCACCTGAGCATGCTCTCTGGTACCCTGTTCATAAAGGGAAGACCTGGGCCTTCATTTTCCTGATGGAGTAGATATGGGATGTCATGACTTCTTGGCAAGAATGAATCCTAGACAGACACTTTAGTTGGGTGCATTCAGCAGCTATTACAGAACAGTGTGCTTCAGAGCACTGTGATGCCACATGTGTGTGCGTGTGCGCACGCACGCACACACACACACACACACACACACACACACACACACACACACCCTACCTTCTTGGCCATGATGGTTTTACCATTGGATTATTTGACTACAGTGAATATCTCTGTAAGGTGCATCTATCCAGCTCTCTTTAGCTAAGTATAACAAACATTTGTTCGTATTTTCATCCAAATAGTCACACACCAATACCACAGAGACCTCAGCAAACATAGTTAGGTCATTATAATAAATTCCAGTATCATTAAAGATATATACAAAACAGCAAGGGAAGTGGGTAGGTGATGTTGCCAATAGGGAGAAATCTGGTTTGTAAAATAAACTCTCTAATTGTTTCTTATATAGGATACTTATTCTTTACTTGTATTTTGCTTTGTGGTGTTGGGTATGCTCTCAAGGCTTCACATAGGCTAGGAAAGTGCTTTATATCACTAATTTTGTCACTTTGCCTGGATTTTTAGTGAACTTGGTGATTATATTGTCCATTCAACAAAATCATGTTGAGGACCAATACAACTAATCTACAATGGCAGAGAATGATAAAAGACCGCATTGAGGTATTTAAAGCAGCCCTAGTTATTATGATACAGTCCACCAGATCGCTGAAAAAGTGGCTGCTTGACAGGTCTTCTGGTTTCCATAGAGAAGAAGCTAAGACTGCAATTGCTTGCTGCCTGTGAGGGGACTTTAGAAGAGAAGAGGAGCACAGCTGGACATGGTGGCCAACAGTAATGGTCCCTGATCTCGCCCTAGTTTCTGCTCAACCTGGGGGGCAGTTCCAGGGCAGTCATTACTGTAAAGGAGGCTGGTGTGGGGATTGAGGGAGTCTCTAGGAGGAAAGGATTTGAAAATTGTCAATCAAGCAATTGTGCTTACTCTCACCAACCTGAAACAGCTTTAATCATTTAAAAGGATGATTAAAAACATTAAGAAGTGCTTATAACCACAATCCAATTAAAAAAAATCAACATTCTCCAGAAGAAGAATGTTATTCCATCTAGTACTTAGCCCCTAGCTAATGCTCTTACAGAATAAAACAATTAAGTAATCTCTTGGAGAAGGTTGAATCTTCCTTAATCTATCTAAACAGTACCTATGACACATAATGACTAAAATGTTAGCTATGCTTTTAATATACTGAGAAAAATTATTATAGCCTCTCTCTTAATTCTGTTGCAGAATTCTGATTTATACTCATTCATTTATTCATCTGATAAATATTTACTAAATCCACCAGGTGTGTGTAAGAAACTATAATGCTGAAACTTTACATAAGAGGAAATAAACTTGGAATTATAGTGACTTTGCATTTTGTAATAAAAATGTGTGTCATGAAACCAGGTACCAGTGGCTCCCATCTGTAATCTTAGCTAATCAGGAAGCTGAGATTTGAGAATTGTGGTTCAAAGCCAGCCAAGGCAAGTCATGACTCTTCAATGAATCACCAAAAAAAAAAAAAGCCAAAAGGGGAGATGTGGCTCAAGTGGTAGAGTGCTAGCTTTGAGCAAAAAAGCTCAGCAACAGCAACCAGGTCCTGAATGCACAAGGCATTCTGGCAGTGTAATTTAATCTTAGTGAGCATCAGCTTCTGATACACAGCCAGGTTAGGGCTATGGCAGATCCCCCAAGTCCATGAGTACAACATCCCAGGCTGGCTAGAGAAGGATTGGTAGGCCTTTTCCCAAACTGCCACCTCCAAGATTCCTGTTGACTTCTACCTCCTCTTGCCTTGTACAAGGGAAGCCGGTAAACAAGGTTTGCTTAGGAAAGTTTCCATATGCCTTCCTCCCAGGGCAGTTTCAACAGAGAGAGGACACTTTGTAGCCAGAAATGGGTACATTTTGGGAGTTGAAAATAACTGAAATTTCCAAATCTTTGCTTAAATAACCTTATCCAACTGGCATGTAGCCCAGTCTCCTCCAGGCAGGAAAAATGTTTCCAAAGGCACAAAGTTTTCCCTATCGGATTCACTACCACCTGCCAAGGAAACCAAGGGGGCTTTCACAATGATCCTCTCTGATGTAGGGTGATGTAATTTATTGAGAGAACTTGGGTCTGTGAGACAGTGACCCCACAGGACTCAAGGCATCTCTGAAAAAGTGTCCCTGGAGCTGAGACTAAAAGTTACAGGAAGGACCAGCAGAGGGACCCCTGAAGACTTACCCTGAGACAGGAAAACTGGGGATAATAACAGTCACTCTGACTGATGCCTGCAATGACTATGTATGACAGTCCTGGGTTAAAAAAATGTCAAATGAAATGACTGAAGAATTAAGATTCACACCAGGAATGCCAGGATGAGTTAACACTGGCTTGCCTTAGAAAATCTGTTGTAATTCACCTCAATAACAAATTGAAAGAGAAAAACTATATCGCGATATAACAAAATAACATCATGTCAGTAAATGTGGAAAAAATTCACATTTGATTTTCACCAAAGACCAAGAAGTGAAGAAGAAAAGAATTCAATTCTCTTATTTAAAAACAAGACACTCAACAGCAAAATATGTGGATAAGATAATAAACAGCATGTACCAAATGCCTACCACAAACATACTTAATGATGAATTTGGTACAAGGCTGAAACCATCCACCATCACAATTTCATCCAACACTGTGCCATGCAGAGGGTCCCAAGGAGATGAGATTAGTCATCTGGCATTCCATAAGGATTTGTAATATACATTTTACCCTATATGATAGGTCTATGCTAAGGTGTTCCTAATGTCCTTTAGGCTATAGATGCCTCTAGTACTATCTTCTGAATTCATGGCTGCTGGTGGCTTAGCTGATATTCTGCCGTGGGCATACACTAAACTATCTGTCTCAGCAATATATTGTTTGTCCACAAGCAAACTCATGCTGAAATCTCACTCTCAATGGAGTGGTCTTGGGAGGCAGGGCCTTTTAGAGATGGCAAGGCTAGAGGGCTCTGTCCTCATGTGTGGATTAAGAATATCTCACAGGTGCTCTGGCTGAATCCCTCAAGGTATTGTTTTAAAGCATACTTGGCATCTTTCCTCACTCTTACACACAGACTTTGTCACAGGCTACAGCTTCTCCCTCCACTGTGCACCCTCACCACATGTGGATGCCTAGTTTTATACTTCCTGACTTCTGGAACTGAGAGCCAAACTAAACCTTTTTCTTTATAAATTACCCAACAGAAAGTAGACCAAGACCATCTGTTTAAGAGGTCTGGGTTTTTTTTCTATGTTAATATATAAAAGAGCAGGATGATTAGTGTAAGTTACAAATTGACTGCAATTACAAGACTACACTTCTGTTCACACAAAGCAGAGCAAGCTCAGATCAGGGTTATGATATATATAAAAGAAGCCCTAGATGGCACTATGCCTCACATCTCACCTAAGCACTGGCTAAATTGTTACATCCCACTTAGTATTTGATAATTCAGGAAATAAGACTTGGAATATATGAATAACAGCTTGATTTTGTACCAATTCTAATAGCTTGACTTTAAGTATATAGGTAGTTTGAACTCTTAAAACAATGCAAATATTTTCATTTTCCTCTAAGCAGATTAAATTTAGACAACAAAACTCTAGATTCAGGCAAAGCTATAAAAAGGGCAAGTTCATACCAGATGCTGGTGGCTCATACTTGTAATTCTAACTACTCAGGAGGATCCTGGTTCAATGCCAGCCCAGGAAGCAAAGTCCATGAGACTCTTATCTCCAATAAACTACTCAGAAAACACCAAAATGGCGCTGTGGCTTAAGTGGTAGAGCACTAGCTCTACTACTTGAGTAGAAAGAAGCTCAGGGACAGAGCCAAGGCCCAGAGTTAAAGCCCCAGGACTGGCAAAAAAAAATTCTTTCAAGAATAACTAATAAAGGAAAAATAATTTATAAATTAATCTAGTCAATTGTATTCATGAAATAAAAATAAATATACTCTTTTTATGAACAAAAAGATTACCATAATTCTATCAATACAGATTTATACACACACCACAAGTAAGACACTGAGAAACAGTCTGAAAAGATATACAACAAAATGTTGGCAATTCTTTCTTTTCTATACTTTCCTGTATTCTCTAATTCTTTTGTAACAAATATATAATTTTATGATCAGTGAAAAACAACAACTTGACAGTATTAGGGTCTGAACCAGGGCTTCGAGCTTGCTAGGCAGGTGCTCTACCATTTAAGCCATCTTCAGCCTCAAATTATTTTAATGGGCCAAATATTGACACCTGTATTTAATATAACGCCAATCACAGTACCAAAGAGCTAGATGAGGAACTGAGAGGAGACTTTTGTGAAGGTCCACCTAGGAAACTGAACACTTTGTAACATGGCAATGAGTATTATTTAAGAAAAAAAAAGCAGTCTTTTTTTGCAAAGTTACTTAATGAAAAGTTTAATTTATCAATCTACAATTTGAACAAGTTCCCAGTTAATAATCTCTAATAAAATTGCTTCAATTATCTTCAATAAAATATCTTTGAATTTAGAACATAGACAATAAAAGTTCCTACCATAACCTAAGACCATCAGCCAAATGCAGGGCACAACTGACTACTCCTAAAACAGAAGGAGCAATAGAGAAAAGTTTTGTCCTTGGAAGCTCATGATATAAAACTATGTTTTGAAATACTGATGACCCCAAAATAAGGGGGAAAGAGGTTTTTAACCTATCACTCCAAACCACAAACTCAGAAGTTGGAGAACACAGAATAGGAATCCATCTTCTGAATCTTTCTCAGCACTACTCTGTGAGGTGGGCAAAATATCATATAATCACTTCCAATCTTGCATCAAATAATAAAATTCCAGACCAATCAAAGGGTTATTAAAAATGAAAGAAGTGATTATTTATTTGGGCTCCAAGCTAAAAAGAAAAAAATTAAAGGAAATGATTAACAGATTTGATGACATAATTTAATAGCAAGAGTTGGCAAGGGCTCAGGGAAACAAGTATTCTCATGAACTGCTGGTTGAGAACAACTTGGCATAATCTTTCTTGGAGGGTAATCTGGCTGGATGTGTTGAAGTCTTTAAAAATGTTTATACTCCTTGACTCACTAAGTCAACGTCTAGGAATTTTTCCTAAAGAAATAATCAGAGAGATATCAAAAATGTATTTACAGTATTGAAAGACCAGAAAGAACATAAACATCTAGTAATGCACATATGTTCAACAACAGGGAACTGGTGAATATAAAATAATTATCTGGCTTTAAAACAATGTTTAAAAGAGTATTTGATGATAAGATAGGCTCAAAAATACTAATGCAGCAAAAAAATTAATAATATGTACAGACATGATGGTTCTAAATTTATTTTATCTTATTGTTTTTGTGGTGTTGGAAATCAAACCCAGGGCCTTATGCATGCTAGGTAAGTGTGCTAGCCTTAGCCATACTTTCTAGAATAGGATATTCTTTATTACTACATCACTGATACTATTTATTACATTCCCACTCAATCTTGAATGCCTCTAGTCAGAAATTTGGGATATTTCACTTGTGAATTCCCAATGCTTCTCTGAAATCCAATAGGTCTTTTTTGAGCTAGAATGCAAGATTTATGGGTAAAAGTGACTCAACAAATGATTATTTTTGTTTTATAACAAAGATAATGCTATCAAAGAGAAATGCTAACAAGGACTCACAGATGCCTGTAAAGACATCTCTCTTCTTACCTTGGCTAGCAGGCTTGAGACGTGTTTAATTTCACCATTTGCCTTTAGCAATTCTTGTCTGAGCTCAGTACAAGACAGTTCTAGTTGATCCTTCTCAGCTCTTGCTGCTTTCAACATCTCCTGAACTTCACAGTTCTCTGTAGTCTGGCCTTCGATACTACTGGTTTCTGTAGCCTTTCGCTTATCACTCTCTAAGTGAGCCTTCAAGGACCCATTCTCCATCTTCAAGCCTTCCAAGGTAACTCTACATTCTTCCAAAGTTTTGGCCATCACACTATTATTACACCTTTCTCGTTCCAGAAACCCATTTAGTTTGTCATTTTCTTCCTTCAGGTGCTTAATCCTATCTAAAGCTCCTTGGTTTTCTTCTTCAACCTTCCGTAAGCTACAGGTAAGCTGCTGCTGAATGTTGAGCAGCTTCTCTCTTTCAAAGCGACTATTCTCAAGAATATCTGTGCACTTCTGCTCTAGTTCAAGGATTTTTCCTCCCTGGGTGCTGGGCTCTTCAATCTTTACTCGCTCTTGTAAAAGATTGATGAGTTTCTCATTTTCTTGACTTAGCTGTTCTGCCCTCTCTCGATGCTGGTGGAAGGATGTCTCTAAAATTGTCTTCTCATCCACCAGCTTCTCATTCTCAGCTGTCAGTTCCTGGACCATTTGCTGCTGGTCTGATAATTCTTGCAGAGTAGCCTGCAGCTCTTCTGTGGTGCTGTGCTGATTCTCTTCCATCTTTTGTATTTTCTCTGTAAGAGAAGCCAGGGACAGCTCGCTTGTGTTGTTTGGGGAGCTCCCCACAGGGGAACACTTTGAGTTCTTAAAAGGGTTGCTAGTGGAAGACAGGGGCCGAGATGGGGTATCTGCAGTGATGTGCTCAAAATCAGAGGCATCTGGTGACAATGAAGCTTTGGTAACATCACTGCTTGAAGAACCCGATGTCTTTAATGCATTCCCATGTGTGTTTCTTTTGTACTCATCAGTCTCACTTAACAGCTCATTTCCAGTTGGGCTTCCAAAGCTTGACTCTTGAGTTGTGGATGTTGGGCAGCTGCTGTCACCAAGGTGACTTGCTGTTCCTTCTGAATTCGGTGACTGCTCAAGGTAAGTCAATTTCTCCTTCAAGGCCCGGTTTTCTTCCTCTAGGTCAGCAAGCTCTTTTTGAAAGGTCTTATTCTTCTCCTCAAGGGCTCTTACCAAAGGTTCTATGTCACCTGGTGGAGCAGTTGTTCCATCTGCACTTGGGTCTGAAGCATCAGTCCCCTCAGTGCTCAAAGCCCTTCTCTCTTTGCATTTCTTTAGTTCACTTCGAAGTCTGTTGATTTCACTGTCTTTGGCTTTGGCTTCTGCCAGAAGTTCCCGAACCTGGGACTCGAGCACAGCCTTCTCTCCACCTTCATGGTCTTGCTTGGGTTTTGCAGAAGTGTTCCTCAAGTGCTTGGTAGGAGTGGGCGTGCAGGAGGAAGTTGGACTGGACCCTGATTTCTTAGGATTGGAGGAACCACGTGGCACAGATCTCTCTCTTGAGATAGCTACTGAGAGGTCCCGTGGAGCTGGAATGCCTGTCCGTTTGGTTGTTGGAACAGCCCCTAAAGACAGAAAAAGAAAAAAAATGAAGAAAAAAAAAGAGCAAGCACTTATATAATGAAAACCAAATGACTTCAAAATCCATGGCATGAGGATAGGGGCTGTCACCCTTCATCCATTTCCTCCTCCTCTGGATAGCCACCCAGTACCCACGGGTTTTTGTGCCTCCTCCCACAGCCATGCAGGTGAGGAAAAGCTGACTCCTAGTCTGAGCTTCCAAGAACAAATCTCAGCTACAACTGCTGGTTCAAGGCAGAGGCACACACCTCAATTAAGATCAATGGACATTAGTTGGAGGTAAGACTCAAGTGGTAGAATGCTTCACTTGGGCCCTGAGTTTAAATGTCAGTACCACAATCAATCAATAAATAAATAAAATAAAAGGGCATCCACCTCTCCCTCATAAAAGAAAAGAAAGACTCAAGACAGAAGAGTATAAAGAGGGGCTGGGAAGGTGTCTCAGTGGTAGAGCGCTTGCCTTGCATGCATGAGGCCCTGGGTTCAATTCCTCAGCACCAAATAAGGAAAAAAGCCAGAAGTGGCTCTGTGGCTCAAATGGTGGAGCACTAGCCTTGAACTGAAGAGCTGAGGGACAGCGCCCAAGCCCAGAGTTCAAGCCCCACAACCGATCCCCCCCCCAAAAAAAAAGGAGTATAAAGAAAACCAAATTCTTTTTTTTTTTTTGGTTGGTCGTGGGGCTTGAACTCTGGGCTTGGG